GTGCATGTGCATTCATGAGAGCAAGAGTATGACAGAGAGAGAAAGAGAGAGAGAGAGAGAGAGAGGAGAGAACTTCTCAACAGAGCCTGGTCTCCTGCAACCCTTTTCGCTTTCTCTTTCTCCAGCCCGTCAAGATCTTGGACAGTCACATGTGTGTCTTGTGTGTTTTTCAGTTTGTTGGGACTCGAACTGCAGTTGGCTACATGGGATCCATAACCCGGCACAGTGCTGAACTGCTATACTACAGACCTGGCCCTTTTTCTTTTTCTTTCTTTTCTTTTCTTTTTTTTTTTTGGAGAGGTTTTTCGCTATAGGGTGCGTGCGCTCGCCAGACAGACAGAGAGAGACATAGCATAGGAAAGTGAAAATCACCCCCCAGGGGGGATGGTCACGCCGCAATCCTTTCTCCTCCATTCTCCTCTCGGGATCTTGGGCACACACGCACACGACTACATGAGAGTCCAGTGACATAGCCATTACGCTAACTGCTGGTTCCCGAGACCAGGCCCTTTTTCAAAAAAATTATTTGGCGATGTCCAGCACTGCATGTAACAGTAGTATTATGGTTTGTGTTCTAAAACATTCTTTTTTTCTTCTTACTTCAAAACTTTCCAAAATGAAACTTGTTTTATCACTGGTGTTCTAGAACCTACCCTCTTTTTTTTAAAATTTATTCATTCTCTACATTAATTCACTATACATCATCACAATACACAAATGAATTTTCCATCCAAAATACACTGTGCATTGGCTCAATCGAACACAAGCTCCTTTTCCTTTTTCTCCAGCAAATCCTCAGGAAGTGTTGCATAACTCACTAATGCTTTTTGCTGTTGAATTTTATGATGGGTGGGAGAGAATATGCAAAGGTACATTGAGGATTAGCTTTCTGTATCCACACTGGCCCCTGCAGAGAGGGACACAGGGGTCTGGGGGCAGAGTGGGCAAGAAATAGTCAGTCCCTGCGAATTTGTAGGAATCTGGAGGATGTTTTCCTGGGTCATGGCATTGGGGGATTGTGGAAATGCTATCTAAACTTGAGCTGCTAGGCTAATCGAAGGCTTCACCACAACCTGGACTTTCCTGGGTTAGCTGCTGAGGTATCTGAATTGTTCCTGAGGCCCCAGGTGGAAAAGGGTTTTCTTTTTGGGAAGTGCCATATTTTACTTGGGAGAGAGTCCCCTATTCCTGTTCCATTAGTGCACGTTTCAGCCCTTCACTACATCAGAGGAGCAATGGGACATACTGCTCTCTGTCTCTCACGTGCATATGCGTTCTGTCACACACACACACA